GGTAGACTGCTTTTAACTTCTTTAAGGTCAACACCTGATTGATATAGAATTGCAAATGAACCATTGAAAAAACGTCTCATTAATAATTCCAAAAACGAATCATTACTAATTCCAGTATTAAAAAAAATTTTTCTACCTGATATAGCTGGTTTTGCCTCTTTTATAATAAATTGTTCCTTTTTCATTGACCTTATTTTAGCTTCACTCATTTCTAATATATTTATTTTATGTAGCAATCTTAAATTATTAGAAAAACGTAAAATTTAAAATTTTCAGAAGTTGTACCAAAATATAACTATACAACAATAGGCGTAACAGAAGAAAATGCAAAAAATTACCAGTTTTCATGATTTTCAATACCACCAAACATTTTTGAGGGGTAATAAAAAAACCATACAGTTTTAGACTAAAATATAGGCCTTCATATAGTAAGTAAAAAAAAAAAAAAAATTTAAAAAAAATATATAACGCCTGAAAATGGCCACTTTTCGGTCCTTCGTTCCCTAAATTTTGGGCTTGAGGGAGGGGGGGAGGCGGGCGGTTCAAAAGTGGTCTGGGATCGCCTAAACTTTTTGAGGGTTGTTTTCAAGATATTTGCCCCAAATTTAGGGGTATGGTTTTTTTGTTTTAAATATTTACTTTTTTTGACTCTCCCTTATGTATATATATATATATATATATATATATATATATATATATATATATATATATATATATATATATATATATATATATATATATATATATATATATATATATATATATATATATATATATATATATATATTGAATAGCATTACAAAAAAGTAATGTACAATTTTATCTATTGTTAAATAATGAGTAAAAGATAGGTAAGAACGCAGGAAAAAGAACTGATCATTTATGTGTTGAAAAGGGAGCGGTGTTGCTAATGTTTTGTGGGAGGTAGAGGTCACTGACATCATCACAAAGAATACGTAGGTATTTTTGAATAAAGGATTGCTGATAGGTAGTAGTGATTGCAGTTATTTATTTACTTACAGTTATTTACACATTTATTTATTTACAGTTAATTATTTACAGCTATTTAGAGTGAATGGGAATCCGTTTGGGTTTCTGCTATTGGTGCAAGGTAATTTAGTGGTTATCAGATGGTATGTGTCAGCAAGGGTTTTTTTAAGGATATTAATACAAGTCTTGTCTAGAAATTCTTCAATGTCAAAACAAATATGTTCAAGTTGGTTGCATCAACTCTGATGATGTGTGTGAAATTTTTGTAGAAATGATGTATCTCTTTTTTTGCCGCAAGACTGCAAGAAGTAAGAACTGGGGCACAATATATCATGTGGCTAATAGCAAAAGAGCTGTAGACTAGATGGTTGGGCTGAGTATGTTCGATTTGCTTAAGATGCTTGAGTATAAATGCTACTGATTTTATAGTGTGCACTTTTGTCTATTGTTCATACCAATCAAGATTCTTATTGAGCAGGATTCCAAGGTATTTGTAGTTGTAGACAATTTCAAGTTCAGTATTATTGAGTATGGGAGATTGTAGAGCATAAGAGTCAGATCATCGGGCATTGATTCTAATGACTTTATGTATATATAAATATAATAAACAATAAAACTCTAATAAAACTAATAAAAAATGTATATATATATATATATATATATATATATATATATATATATATATATATATATATATATATATATATACACACACACACACGGAAGTATTTATATCAGTGGTGTACACTGGACTTTTAGATGTTTGAGTTTTGACACTTACAGGTATTGTGCAAACTCCAAACTTTTGTATGTTCATACTTATGTCAAATGAGAATGCTTTGCAAAAAGTTGTGATGATTGGAGCTTGGGGACAAAAAAAAACCAATTTTTGGGCCCACCCAGCCCTTAATGTGGGAGCAACAAGTTGATAAAATAATTTTTTTAGTATTTTTATATAAGTTTATATTCATCAACAAATTTCAAATTTCATCCAATAATTTCTTATTTTTTGAAAATTTTGACCATATAAAGTTTTAACCCCCCTCAATTTGAGGGGGTTGTAAACTTTGTAGGGTCATAAAAACTAAAAACTAAAAGGTTATTGCATGAATTTGAAATTTGTTGATAAATATAAACTTAGATAAAAATACAAAAAAAATTATTTCGTCAACTTGTTGCTCCCACGTTAAATCGGAGTTGTACACAAAAAATTTCAACCACTGGAGTTGGAGTCAGAGTCGTTCCTTTTTTTATATGACTTCACACCCCTGGTTATGACCTAGATTTTAAAAATATTATGTTAATATCTAAAAAAAATTTATGGAGGTTAAACAAGCTGGTCCAGAATTTTTAGTGTTTAAGATAGATAACTTCCAGAAATGATGCTTTCAAAAAATTTTTTAATAATCATACAGATGCAAAATAAGAATGTTTTAGAAAAAATTGCAACGATCGGAAACTGGAAACAATATTGAACCTAAAATTTGGGTCCTTGTGTCCCATGTATGGT